TCGGCGCGGGGGCGGGGCGGCGCGGGGTGGGGCCCCCTCCCCCTCCCCCACCGCTCTCCTCTGACGTCCGACCTCGCGACCCCGCCCTTCTGCGGGCAGCCCCGCCCCCGGCGTCACGTGCTGAAGGCGCGGCGCCGCCCCGCTCCGCGGTCCTGCGGGCCTTTTTGGATCTTTTCAGTGTGATTAGGAGTTGGTTCCGATCCCCAAAAGCGCACCCCAACTTTTATCTCCCCAAACCGGCGGACCCACCAGGCCTGCCCCACGCTCTCAGTGCCACTAACCCCATTTCAAACTTAGTTTCCACGGGGACGCCTGTTTCAGGAACACCCCCTTTCACTTGGACGGACAGGTTCCGGAGAGTATTTGGAGGCACCCCCAACCCCGTATTTCCCGTGACTATCGTTCCCTACGCCCCTCCCCGCTTTCGCCTAGCAGGCATCCTCCCCGACATGAGAGGCCTTAGGGGGGTCCTGTGTCCGCCGCCGGCCCCCGCGTCGTAGGCTCTAGATTCGGCCTTCCTGGCCCCGGGGTAAGGCAGGCTCGCCCGAGGCTTTGACTCGCGCTGGCTCTGTGCCGGGCACCGCGCCGGGTGGGCGGGCCGGCCCCGCTGAGGCTGAGGCGAACCGCCGCGGCCTCGCCCATACACGTGCTTCTGGAAGAGACAGGCACCTCACCATGAGGACCTAGAGGGGCCAGGGCAGTCCCGTGAGAACCACGGCCGGAGGGACCACGGGTTAGGGATGCTCCCAAGTGCCGGGCTGGTAGGGGCGAGGAGAGCTTTTCAGTTAACACCGCAGGGACAAGGCATTACTCCAGCTCCGCCAGGAAGGGTAGTGTTCCAGGTGGAAGGGCTGCTCCAGCGAAGATGAAGAGGGGCACGGCAGGTGCTTCCAAACTGAAAGGAGTCACTGGTTGAATGGAGTGGTGAAGTGACACCAGCGAACTGGACAGAGTCCGAAAGGTTTTATACTGCCAGAAAGGGGCAAAAAAAAAAAAAAAAAAAATCCTTCCGGCACTGTGAAGGTTCAAGGCGGAGAGGAACAGGCACAGTGACGGGGACAGAACTGCACTGGCAGTTGCCCCTCGGTCTGGCCTGGCCTTGAAGCGCGGCACGCAGCAGTCACTCAATACTCTGGGCACTCCAGGCCTTCGCTCCCTTCGAGGTCGCCTCGTACCCCGAAAAGCGTGTTCGCGCATGCGTTCGCATCTCCGATCATTTCCGGGACTGTGCCTAAGAGCGCCTACCGGGGCTCTCTTTTCACCCAATGGGAGACCACCAATGGTCCTACCGCCTAGGGAGGAGACGAAGGAGATTGGCATCTGCGGTGACCACTGGAGAGGCAGAAGGGAGGGACTTCCTTGTCTTTGCCGAGTGGCGCGGGAAGGTAGTCGTTGTGACTGGAAGACTAAGGGCTTCCGGTTTGATGGATTAGCAAAAGGCCAATGAAAGTGGGAAGGAGGAGGGGATTTTCAGGAGCGAGAGGAAGCAGCTCCAGACCTCTGGCCTATCAAATTGGAGCAGCCGGTCAGGGAAAAGACTGGCAGAGAGCGCTCGCCTATACTGAGTGTCCCAAACAAATGAGGGCGGGCTCTCCTGCCGAAAGGAGTAGGCTTTGTCCAATAGGGGCTTAAGGTATGCGGAGGCTTCCTCCCCCCGCAGCAGGAACAGTGGCTCCCCCTATCGGGTGGGGGCGGAGGGTGACGGGCGTGTCCCTCCCCCAATGAGAGGCGGGGGGAGGCGGGTTCTGCGCCGCCATGTCGCGGAGGCTGCTGCCCCGGGCGGAGAAGCGGCGTCGGCGGCTGGAGCAGAGGCAGCAGCCGGAGGAGCAGCGGAGGCGACCGGGAGCGATGGTGAAGATGGCGGCGGCGGGCGGTGGAGGCGGCGGAGGCCGCTATTACGGCGGCGGCAGTGAGGGCGGCCGGGCCCCGAAGCGGCTCAAGACAGACAACGCCGGCGACCAGCACGGAGGCGGTGGCGGCGGTGGTGGAGCCGGGGCGGCGGGCGGCGGCGGCGGGGTGAGGCCAAGGCTCTAATCTCGGGTATCGCTTGGGAGGGAGGGGAAATTTCCCACTTTGAGGGTATTTCTTGGGAAGGGGGCTTCTGCGCACGCGCCCCTGCCCTCGCGCCGTTGACGGAGTGGGGGAGGAGCAGGCGTTGGGCAAACGGCGGGGTTTGCGCGAGGACAGGCGCCTGCGTGTGGGCGCTATTGAGAGCGGGGCGCTCGCGCTTCGGTGGTGCAGCGCGCAGGCGCCGCGGGCTGGTGTGGGTTGGGGCGGGCACGCGGCCGGACGCCTTTTTCCTCATTTTCTTCCCTGGCCCGATGCGCAGGCGCACTTCTCCCGCACTGGCCTCGTGGGCTGTTGGAGGTGGGGGGGCCACTGCGTGAGCGGGAACGGGTGGGCGGTGGCCTTGTCCGCTCCTGAGAGGAATTATGTCCGGTCGCTATTTAATCTTTATAGCTCTGTGGTTTGTCTTGAAGCGGAAGTAGATTTGAGGACAATTCCCCTAGAACAGATTATGTTCCCTATTTTGTGGGCACTGAAAACCGGAAGAAAGGCCTAGTGAAAGGTCTTTTTAGCAGATCGGGAGTTGAGCCAAGTTTTGGAGCCATCACGAGTTTGCTAATAATTTCCAGGGTTTAACTGGATGTGCAGAGGGGTTGATGAACCATAATGTTCCCTGCAGTTGGGCATTTTGGAAAGGATTCAGCCAAATCCTTAAGTCTCCTCCGAATAGACCACCAGTTGTTCCTCTGGCTTAGATCCCATTCCCTCCTCTCCCAGTCAGCCATTTGCAGGTTTTTTTCAGGACTCGGCTGCCATCTGTACTATGATTTATTAGCATTTTAATCTGTGCCAGACCTTGTTCCACGCATTTTAAAGGTATCTCAATTGAATTTCCAACACTTCTTTATGAGCTAGGGGTGATTTACTATTTTTGACTTGCATAGATGAGGTAAATTCATATAACCAGTGAGGGAAGGGACTGAGTTTGGAATTTAGGACTGTGGAATTCCAAACCGCTGAACCTGGTAACCTGCCTCCTGTTTGGTTCATTCCTGAAATAGAATCCAGTTCTGCCTGGTGGTTCTCAAGCAGGAGGCTTGGCCTAGAGCCCACCAGAGGTGAAGAAAGTTACTTTCCTCCTGGTTCTCCAAGGCTTCTGTCTGGAAGTTCCTCTTCTTTCTCAAAGACAGGATTCTTTTTCTACAGTCTGGCGTAGATCTTGTTTCCCAGTGCAGATTTTGGTGGGGAAGTGATTAAAGCTAAATCTAGTCAAGACTGGCCTGGCTGCCACAGCTTCTGAGGCACATGCTCTTTTATCACAACCAGGGGATGAAGTGGGAAGTGATGGTTGGCTGGACGATGGTTGCAGCTTGCTCTAGTGGGGACAGAGCAAAGAAGTTGGGCAGATGCAGAGATTGCCTGATTCAGATTGCAGTGGAGAATTGTGTGAGCCTTTCCTGCCAGTGGTGTCCACTTTCCAAGCCACGCCTTCCCCTCCCCCTCCCCTTTTTTTGTGTGTGTGTGTGTGGGGGGTTACCACTGAGAAGAGACAGGTTCTGGAAGGAATGTAAGATAAGCCATCGGCCTGGTCCTTCATTCTGCTTTCCTCAGAAGCTACAGCAAGAGGCTTTAGATAAGTGGCCATGCACTGAGGGCCTTTGCTCTGTTGGCCCAGAATCCTTTTGGGGTGATTGGTTTAAGTTGCTTGCTGTCTCTTGTTGTCTGACCTGGGTGACACTTCACTGTCTTATCTGACTGCATCCTCAACAATGCAGAAGCTAGTGAGCCATTATCTTGTATGGCAGGAAATAAAGTCTTGCTTTTGCTTCTTTTCTCAGGAGAACTACGATGACCCACACAAAACCCCTGCCTCCCCAGTCGTCCACATCAGGGGCCTGATTGATGGTGTGGTGGAGGCGGACCTCGTGGAGGCCCTGCAGGAGTTTGGGCCCATCAGGTACTCCCCTCGGAGGCCAGGGGTTAAGTATACAGAGAAGGCTTTGGTGTCCTGTGTGCCACTGGTTCCTGGTGGGAAGTGATTTGGCCAGTTTGGTCCAGGATCCCTTGGCTAGGTCCTGGGGCTCCTCTGCTATGGGGTTAGCTCTTGTGTTTTGGGTCAAGTATTGCAAGTTCGTGTCCTTTTTCTCTACTTTGTAGCTTCTAATTAGCATTTTCTTATTCAGCAAGTATTTATTATGCTCAGTAAATGTGGGAATGGAGCATTGAACAAAATGTCCTGGACTCCTCTTAGATAGTTGCCCACACAGTGGTCAGCACTATGATGAGGAAGCTCAGGAGTCTGGGAGATATTTGAGTCAGATGAGGAGGGGTCAGGAAGGAAAGCTTCCCAGAGGAGGTAATGCCAGAGCTACACCTCGTCTGTCCTGCCACTTATGACAAGAGGTGTTACAGTCAGGAAACCATGACAGGGTGCACAGGATTTGGAGGCCAGGGAGGAGTCAGTTCATAGGAATTTGAACACCATTCTCTTGTTCTTGTCTCATCCTGAGAATTTGAAACCTGTGTTTTCTCTTGCCAGCTATGTGGTGGTAATGCCTAAAAAGAGACAAGCGTTGGTGGAGTTTGAAGATGTGTTGGGGGCTTGCAACGCTGTGAACTATGCCGCCGACAACCAAATCTACATTGCTGGTCACCCAGCCTTTGTAAATTACTCCACCAGCCAGAAGATCTCTCGCCCAGGAGACTCTGATGACTCCCGAAGTGTCAACAGTGTGCTTCTCTTTACCATTCTGAACCCCATCTATTCCATTACCACGGTGCGTGCCAGTGGACATTCATTCCTTGATGTTCCCCTGTGAGCTCCCTCTTCCCTTTTCTCTGTCTCCAAACCAGACTCACCTGCCAGTGCCCCTTCATTTTGTTCATCTTTGCTTTTTACAGGATGTTCTTTACACTATTTGTAACCCTTGTGGCCCTGTCCAGAGAATTGTCATTTTCCGGAAGAATGGAGTCCAAGCCATGGTGGAATATCCTTTGCTAGGAATAGGCGTTCCTTGGGTTGGGGGTTAGAGCTGGGCAGGGTGCCATACACATTTTTAACCAGTGTGTATCTGCTGATTGCCTGCCATGTGTCGTTTTCATAAAGCCTGCAGTCTGATGGGAGGGGCTGTCAGTAAATAATTAGATGTCAATAAATAATCAGATGTATGAAAGTATAGAATGTGCCGAAACTGGTTTGGCTCAGTGGATAGAGCATCGGCCTTTGGACTGAGAGGTCCCAGGTTAGATTCCGGTCAAGGGCATGTACCGTGGTTGTGGGCACATCCCCTGTGGGGGGTGTGCAGGAGGCAACTGATCGATGTCCCATCGATGTTTCTAACTATCCCTCTCTCTTTCTCTCTGTAAAAAATCAAAATATATTTAAAGAAAGAGAGAAAGTACAGAATGTAAAGTGCTATGAGATACAAGGGGATGTGGAAAGTTCTTTGAGGAGGCTATTCAATTCAAGGTGGAAATACCAGCTTTATCCTCAGATGGACCCTACCTAATGGGTTGGAGTGTTGTTGCAGGTTTGATTCTCAGGCACCTGCCTAGGTTGTGAGTTCCATCCCCATTGGGGGCATAAATGGAAAGCAGCTACATGGATGTTCTGCCCTCTGACCCTCCAATCTCCTCTCCTCACCCCCTAAAATTTAAACAGCAATATACACACAAGGGGGAGAGGGAGAAGGGGACCCTAATAACGTGTTTCCTTGAAAATAAGACATCCTCCGAAAATAAGATCTAGCGCATAGAAAGATAAAGACACCCTCTGAAAATAAAACCTAGCGCAACTTTGGGAGAAAGAATTAATATAAGATACTATCTTATTTTCGGGGAAACAGTATAAGGTGACAGGAGATTTGACTGAGTGGTGGGCCCATGATATAGTACACAGATCTTGTAATACAGAAATCCATACATAGTGAAATCTATGTGATCGTGTTGACCAATGTCACCCCAATTAATATGTTAAAACACATCCTTAAGTGAGGATTTAAAAAAAAAAAAGAGAGAGATCCTCAGGTGGTCAGAAGCTTAGTGTTGGAGAAAGCAAATGACCCGGCAACTGAAGAGTAGCAGACCTTGGGGAGGGGTTCTCGGCATTGGAAGTTGGGACGTGTTCAGTAGTGGTGAAGCTTGAGTCGGGATGCAGTAGGAAGCCTGATGGACTTTCAGAGCAGGAACGTCTGGTATTTTTCAGATTGTTCAGGCTTCGTCAGAGCACAAGGGAGAGGTTGTGCTTGCCCTGGAGTGGTGATAGGAGGTTGTCACCTCTGGGCTGGTGGGGTGGTGCAGATCGTGAAGAAACTCTTTGCCAGTGACTCTTCACTCAGGGTAGCATGCCAGCCCGTCTCCATGCACGTGATTGTGGCAATGAACAGATCCTAGAACACCCATGTAGCAGTCTGGGTGCTACCTTGTCCTTCATCTCTGCGACAGTTTGAAGCCTCCCAAAGAGCTATGATGGGCTTTCCTTAACGTAACTTACATTTGATTCTGTGCAGAGTGCCCAGCGGGCCAAGGCCTCACTTAATGGGGCTGATATATACTCTGGCTGCTGCACTCTGAAGATCGAATATGCGAAGGTAAGTCTGGGAAGTGACTGCTGCTTGTCAGCTTCCAGGTGAGCTAGGGCCTGGAAGATCTCGTTCAGGAGACAAAGTTTTTTTCTTATCCCTACAGCCTACACGCTTGAATGTGTTCAAGAATGATCAAGATACTTGGGATTATACAAACCCCAACCTCAGTGGACAAGGTAATCCTGATCGCCGCTTTGTTCTAAACACACCCTCTTGCCTTCATTTGACAAGTGCACTTCATAGACCTGGGATCAGGGTTATGTAATGCCATTGGGCTCCCTGTGGACATGGGAGGGCTTTAGTGGGAGAGGGTGAATGAGGGCTCTCTGAATTCTAGCTGCTACTTGGGGCCCTTTGATGGAGCTGAGGGTGCAGAATCAGGTAGAGGCTTGGATTGGGTGGGTACAGGGCCTCACTGCATGGCGATGGCTTTAGAAACCAAGAAGCAGCTCCCAAGTGGATTCTGCTGCTTCCCTTCTGGAAGATTATTTAGTGTCACTGACTTCATTCTCATGGGTCAGGAATGGTCCTTGCTCTCCACTATCGAGAGGGTCTTCTTGGCGTGGGGGCGGAGGAGGGGATGGCAGATTGGGGAGGTGGTGAAGGCTCCTGGGCACTTGCAGCAGAGCCTTTGAGCAAATTGACCTTGTAGAGGTGAGGCCCTGGATGGAAGCAGAGTGGGCATGCCTTCCCTTACTTGTAGAGGGGACTCACCTTCTCTGCAGGGTGCCCAAATGGACATTCCCTTCCTAGAATCTGTCAAGAATGGTTTGCCTTGGATAGGAGGGAGAGATGGAGGATTGCCTTTGAAAAGCAGCAGCACCGCCTCAACAAGACCGTCCATCTCTGTGTCTGTCTTGGTCTGATACATTGGACTAGGCCATGGGCTGAGGGAGGAGGCCGGTTGCTGACATCTCACAGGCCCTGGGAGGCCAGGTGCCCCCATTACTAGCCAGGCCTGTCTTGCTCATCATTGAAGCTGGGAAGCAGTGGGTGGCATGGGCTAGACTCTTCCCCAGGACCTTCAAAATGCGTGCTGTGGGCCTGGCAGCTCCCTCCAGAGGTCAGAGACAAATTGGTGACCAAGTGAATGTACCAGAGCAGGCAATGGCATTACATGACTTCTAACAGAAACATGGCAACCAACCATTTCTTCTCCAAGGAACATAAATAGAAGATGTGCAGACCAGCAGGGGCTAGTGGCAGGGGCTGGCTGTGCATTGGTTTTGATGCCTCTCAGTTTTGGCTGTCCCAAGGCTGGGGGTCAAAAACGAGAGCTGATGAGGTAACCTGGAGTGAGGGCGGTGCTTCGCCATTCCCTCAGGAACCATACTTCAGCGGCTCTGCCTCTGCACATTGCTCACCAACACACAGGGTAGAAACCACTAGCTCTTCCTGGAGAAAACAACATGCAGCCTCCACCACGTCCCCAGAAACAGCCGCAGACTTGAGCTCACTACATCAAGAACACCACACCGCGCTCCAAGGAACAGCTACAAGCACAGAGGCAGACAGAGACAGAAAGAGACTCAACATGGCAGCAGACACTGCTTTTTTATTAAACATTAAAGAAAGGCCAAAATCCAAGCAAACTCGAACCCGAGAATGTACACAGAAGTAGGAAACACAGAGAACAGAGCTCTCAGCCAGCCAACGGCGCTCTTTTCGGAGAACGTTTCACAGACTGAAGTAGATTCCATGGGCCTCCAAGACAATAAGATCCTCTCTCCATTCCTCGCCATACGGGTTTTGTTTTGTTTTTTAAGTCCTTTGGTTTGGGGAGGGCCTTCTTTTTTTGTTTCGATTTTTTTTTTCCTGCAGTCAACAGCTGCCAACATAATCTGCACCAACTGGAGATCAGAAACCAAAAAAAAAATTTAACCACAACAACAACAAAATAAAGCAAAACAGACAGCCAAACAGCTCAGAGGTACACAGTTACCTGCTGGTGGGTAATCGGGCGTGCTCCCAAGGCCAAAAGTTCGGGCATAGTGGGGCCACTGGCACACTTCATAACCAGGAGACACGCACATGGAGCGCTACACAGCCAGAAGCACCGCACTGCAGCACACAATGTGAGGAGGTGACAACACGGAGGGACATACCCACTTCATACACCTTTATTTTCCACTTTCTGATATCTTCTGAGGACAGAACATCTGTGAGCCACTTGATTTAATCAAAACATTGACTGTTAAAACAATTCTTTAAAAAAGTTGTAGCGGATGTATACTGTAACTTGTATTTATGACTGTAAAACCATGTGATGCAGGGTCGCAGTGTATGTTTGATGGGACGCCATCTTTCAGAACTGTGCTAACTCACTGTTGAAGCGTCCAATGGTAAGAGAAAATACAGATTTGTTTTTTGTGACAAATGGACATTGTACTCTGTACTTCTGCTGTAAGTAGTTCTATTCCATCTTTGTAATGACTGATTGTTGAAAACAAAATGAAGGCCGGGTGGCAGGAAAGAGCAGTGGCCTTGAGCCCTGGGTTTTGGAGTCGGCCAGATCTGGGTTCAAATCCCAGCTCAGCCACTAACTTGTGACCTTGGGCTAAAATGTCTTAACTGCTCAGTTCAAAGTTAATCCTCATCTGTAAAATGGGATTAAAGTAGTACCTACCTCATAGGGTTGTTGTGAGGAATCTAAGAAGCTGTGATGTTTGTAAAGTGCTTAGCACAGTGTCTGCCACTCAAGCACTAAATTAATGGTAGCAATTAATGAGCTACATCTGGGGTCAGGGATGGATCTGCGCCATTGTCTGGGTCTGAGAATGTTGATGCCTTGTACACGATTGCTCATATGAACTGATTCTGACTTGCTGCTCATCCTTTCCTCCAGTCCCTCCTCTGGTTGTGTGTGACTAGGTGGGAGGGTGACTGGGACCGGCATTGAGAAAGAAGGGGCCTAGAGTGGGTTCTAGAGCTCCTACAATCATGGGGTATTGGGGTTGGTATCTTCTTTCTGCCCTTGGGTTATTTTCCTGGTCTTAACCTCTCCCTTCATTGGGAGATATTTTAGAAAGCTCTTCTCGGCCCCATGACCTATTAGCTTCCATAGTAGCTGCAAGTTCCCCAGAGAACCCAAGAACTGGTCTTTTTCCCTCCAGGACCAGAGCAGATGCCAGAGCGCCCAGACCTGGCCTCATCCTTCAAAGAAAGGAAAGCCTCGTTGGTGTGGGCTAAGGAGGCAAAGTGTGTTCCCGCCTTGGGCTTCATGCCCACCCTCAGGCAGGCCAAAGGAGGGACGCTCCAGCAGCCCTTGAGATACGGAGGGGTTGCAGCCAAGCTTGTAGGAGCTAAGGGACTTGGAGCCAGGCCTTTAGTGAGAAGGGAAAGAGCCACCCCTCTTACCGAACTAAGCTCTAACTGATTTCTCTGTCCACAGGTGACCCTGGCAGCAACCCTAACAAACGCCAGAGGCAGCCCCCTCTCCTGGGAGATCATCCCGCAGAATATGGTGAGGGCAGGGGGTTCCCCTCCATGGACTCCCGTGGCTCATGTGCCCCTGCCCGACGCCCGCCACGCAAATTCTCACCCGCCCTCCCTCTCTTTCCTTCCCACCCCCCAGGAGGGCCCCACGGTGGGTACCACAGCCATTACCATGATGAGGGCTACGGTCCCCCCCCACCTCACTACGAAGGGAGAAGGATGGGCCCGCCAGTGGGGGGTCACCGCCGGGGCCCAAGTCGCTACGGTCCCCAATATGGGCACCCCCCACCCCCTCCCCCACCACCCGAGTACGGCCCTCACGCCGAAAGCCCTGTGCTCATGGTCTATGGCTTGGATCAGTCTAAGATGAACTGTGACCGAGTCTTCAATGTCTTCTGCTTGTACGGCAATGTGGAGAAGGTGAGTTTCTGCAAAGTCTACTGGTTTCCTTGTAGACCTGGCAAGTCCCAGGGAGGCCCTGAACCTCATGGCTTGCCCAGTCAGTGAAGAGAGAGAGCCAGAGTTCGCTTGGGTAAGAGCAAGTTGACTCAGAGGATAACTTGCTTAATTGGGTGACCTGCTAATCAGGGTTTGTTTGGACTGTGTATGGGTATTTTGTCCGTTTTTGAAATTTCATTATTAAGACTGAACTAACATAAAATTGCTAATACTTAACATTACTTGGAATATTTCGATATGTGAAATTTATC